CTTCATCAGTTATGCCAGTCAAAGAGAGAACACCACTCTCACAGATTACTTCCCTCCCCATTAGCTCATACAACATCATTCCTCATCAGCTCAAGGGCCCCAGCTCAAGAAGGCAGCAGCATGTGGAGACTTGCCTGCATCAGAATGGTAACATGAACTCACCAGGATTCTTCATGTTCCTCAAGTATCTACATGTGCCTTTGCCAAATGGGCTCTTAAGGACTACTACTTCAGGTTACTTGTTTGGTAAAGCGAAATAATTCTCAGCTTTACAAAGCAACAGGATTGGTGGGAGGAAAAGGTGGAAAAGAAAAAAGTCACTTTTCACATTTTGAATCCCAAACCAGCAGCATTTTTAGCAAATAAGCCTTTCCCTCAGAGCAAGAAAAAGCTTTACCAAGGACATTATAAACATGACTGAGGAAACAAAACTTAGACCAAAGGTTTGCTTTATGCACAATACATACAAACCCAGCTATTACTATGGCATTTTTAGATACCATGAATAAGTGATGCTTCCTTTGAAACCAAACAATCATGCAATGTGACACAAAACCAACAAGAGTAGTACACCTTTTCTTGTATCATTACTAATTCATGTTCTCTTCAAGAGCATTTTTCAAGATGGAGTTTCTTACACCACCGTACAAATCTGCTTGTTTGACAGAGTTTGGAAAAGAGGTAATAAAGGCTGCCCAGGAAGAAACCAACTCTACCCATTATGCCAAGATTTCTCTTCCTGAAGATCTGAAACACCACAGTTCATTATCCCAGCACCAAACCATACAGCATTTGAATTCAAATTCCAGTAGAGTAACTCCTGCTCTCCCACCTGAACCCCACAGCCAATTCCACCCTAGGACAACAAGCTAAATTCCTGCCCAATTTGCCCATCATCTTCCTCAGGAAACTAGATCCTTTCATCACAGGCCACTTCAGTAGACCCTCAACAAACCCCACCAGACAGGGCAGCTTCATGAGGGGGAATTTCAAGACTGAGCTCTAAATTCCCAGTTTCTCCCTTCTTAATACAAATAAACAACACAAGCCACTACCTTCTGTGGTTAATGTAGAGTTTGTATTTGAAGTAATTACTTTTTAAGTGAACGCAGAACTAACTGCATTTTAGCCCCATAAAATAATGGGACTGGAATAACTCTTAGTAACACAACCAGAATTTGTTCTGTAAAGCTCATAAAACCCAGCTGGCAATTAACCAGAGATGGATGATCTGCTCCACTCCACTGCTGCAAATATTTGCAGATGCAGTGAGCTTTAAACACCAATTTCTCTCCAGTGAATGCAACAGGCATTCAACAGGCAACTCTCTACCTTGAAATTAAAATGAACACAAAATCGTAGAATCAATCTGGTTGGAAAAGACCTTTAAGATCATCAAGTCCAAACGTTCCCCAGCACTGCCAAGGCCACCACTAACCCATGGCACTGAGGGCCTCATCTATATGGTTTCAGAACACTTCAGGGATGGTGACTCCAGCCCTGCCCTGGGCAGCCTGTTCCAATGCCTGAGCACCCTCTGGGGAAGAAACTGTTCCTATTATCCAGCCTAAATCACCCCTGGTGCAGCTTGAGGCCATTAACTCATGTTATTCCAAGAGCAAGACTTCAAATTCCAAGCACTGGAAACAACCCTCCGGCTCAGGTCTGTTTCACTGACAACCATGGTCATTTCCTATGGACCTTGCCAGGAACATCACCAGGTCCTGTACCACCACACAGCTTCTGCATGTTCAACAGATGCTGAAAAGCGTTCCTGGAGGTTGGTAGCTATTTATTATATTGGAAGCAAAGTGCAAGACAATCTGAAAATTACCAACCACATGGATTAAACTAGCAGCACAAGACTGTGAGGATTCTTTGTGTAGCACTAAAGCAGGACATCCACTCACTGCACATTGAAAGGTACCATTTTAAGGCTTCATGCAAGTACTCAATGCATGAGTTCACAACTGACATCAGCCAAAGATCTCCAGGCTGCCAAGACAGACGGATCTGGCCACTCTGTTCTATTCCTGCATCCTCCTCCTATCAGTCTCATATTCAACAGGTCAAGTTCCTTTTATTGATTCAGATAGAAACTCTGCAAAAATAAACAGTTTTCACTCAGCCAACAATGCTCAACGTTTCACTTGCTACAAGAGAGAGGGCTCCAACACCATGAGGGTAGGAGGGGAGGGACAGGACAACACTGACTTTGCATCAATTCTTTAAAGCAGCTTAACCTCTTCAAGAAACTACCCTCAGAGCCATTTGCTTGCCTGGATGTCAACGGCAACCATCTTGCCGTATTACTCTGCTCGGAGGAAAATTCATGCTTAAAAACTAAGGAAAAGGGATCAATGTGTGTACTCACAGCTTTAGACATCAAAAAAAGACATGAAAATGGGATTTTTTTAATTTCGTTTTTAAAGCAAAAGATTTTGATTTAATATTTCACAACACAGAATTACAGGTGCTACAGCCTCTCAGCTCATTGCCAGCCACCACCTCTAGAAAAGGTAATCTTAGATAAAACATAAGGGAGAACATAATCTTTCCTTAATGAGAAAAACCATGCACAAATTTAGAAGGCTGCAAGTAATTTTGTTCTTTTTATGTACCAAGGGGTTGGTTTTGACTTTTCTAGCTGCCTTTTTACTGTTTTCCTTTTGCTACCTAATACAGATAAGCTACATCATTACTACTTTTAACAAGCATCCTGAAATTTATACAGCATCTTACATTTTCTTTAATGAAACTTAAATGTGTCATAGGCAACCCAAAGAAGGCCTGGCAGATAGGAAAAAATTCTATATATATATATTCTGGAAATACATATATAAGCCAAAACTTGCAGAACTCAGTGTACTGGCTCTGTACACTGAGTTCTGTATTATGTAGATCTGCAGATCTACGCAATACTAAATGTGAGGCACATTTGGGCCTTATACAGTTTGCATTTCTGGCCATTAATATTAATAAATGTGACTGTACAAGCAGGAAGTGGGGCATGTTTGCCTGCAGAGTTGCATTAAAAACTTAATCTCTTATAAATTCATTGCACATAACAGGTATGCTCATGGATTTCTGACATCAACACAGGCATCACTTCCGTTCTAAAGGTTTAACTGAAAGTAAATCTAGCATATGTAACCTGAAATGTGAAGAGGTTAATTGTCAGGTTCCTCAGGAGATAGATTTTTGTTCAGAATATGTATTTCAATTCAAGAAACACAAGCACACATCGGATTGTGGGAAAACCAATGGGAAAGACAGACAGCAATTGCTACAACGCAATCAATACTGATAAGGAGTTTATTTTATAAAGTGATATTAGTCACCCAGTTACACTGAACATGGAACCAGCAATTCACATCCTAATTACAAGTCTAAATATCCACACAAGTACACTTCAACATTCCATGACCACAGCGTAGATCCAAACAGGATCCTAATACTCCACTCAGGTGGAACTACCAGTGGCAAACTTGGAGTACACAGTCATCTGCATTTATGATGCACTTAGCAAGAGTTACTACAAAAAAGAACAACAACTCCAAGGAGTTTGTTTTTTAGAAGCCCCATAGCCATAATTACCACAGACCTCAAAGGGTTTATTAAGATCCCTCTGCCTAAGCACTATTACTTTTCCCCCCCCACAACAGATTGCTCACAAAGCCAAAAATGGGACGTTGAGCACAGTAGATTGCAATATACTGTATTTCCATAATTCAACTGCACATTCATCACCCATTTGTAGCTGAACATATCTTTCACACAAATACCCATGGCCTAGGGTGTCTCCCACCACTCCAGCAAGAAAGCCTCATGTGACTGTCACCAGCAAATTCCCTTCAGCATGCTCACACCAAAAGGCACTTATTTCACCAGCTGCTTTTCCTTTTTCCTTTCTGCCTCCCACCTTAGGAATGGATGTTTTCAGCTGCAGGTTTGCTAGTTAAGTTTTGAGGATTAAATAAGAAAAACAGACACCACCCAACCTTTAGCATTTGAAGACGGCATCCAAGCTCCAACCTGAGCCATGCTGCAAGCAGGGTTTCATGGCTGTGGTGTTCTCTGTGGCTGTATTTCTTCTTATTCTTCTCCCAATTCAACATTAATTTCCTCATTCAGTACACTGTAGCTGTGCTATACTCCCCAGCAGCACTACTGAAGCTCTCCAGATATTTCATATGCTCTTTTCCTATTATTTTGCTATAGTACCTGCACAAAAGCCTAAAACCCACATGGATGCATCACCCCCTAAAGCAGCTTACTGCCCAACATCTGCTCCTGAACTTCCCAACGCAAACAGGGGGGAGAACCCCTCTTTTCCCTGCAAAACACACAACTGAGAGGCTGTCTGCCTCATCATCTCTCATTTCTCTGTTACATTTTAGCCCCCAACAACCAACCCACGCCTGTAACAGAACGACACCGTGTGTCATTAGACTCCACACTCCTTACTCACCCTTGGGGAGGAACGAGAGGCAGAACGTTTAACCCCTGCTTGCCTGCAGCGCGGGGTGGGTCCGGCCTCACGTGTGCGCTACCTGCAGCACAGCCCTGTAAATACGGTGCCATTCTGCGAGGAAAACGCCTCCTTTCCAGCCCCTCGCAGCCCGTAAAGGGCCGGAATCCTGCAGCACGAACCGCTCACCACTTACCGTGGGCGGCTCGCTTAAAAATAAGGGATTTCTAATGGAAAAGGCGGCATTTGGGGACCTCTACCTGCACCCCCCGGGTAATGAATGAAGGAAGAACGATCCGACCGAGTACCCGACGCCCTCCCGGCCCCCGCCCGTGTGCGGCACCGCGATGGGGGGGGGGGAGCAGGGGCGTGGCTGCGGGGGGGGGGGGGTGTCGCGATTCCCTTCCCCGACATGTCGCCGGGCGTCACCACCTCACGACCCCATCCCTCCCCCCCACCATCTCTCGCCGCAGGGGGGTGGCGGGGACACGCAGCCACCACACGGACCCGCGCGACCTCTGGCCCTTACCTGTCGCCACAGGGCTCCCGCGCCCCCTCACAGCCGCAGCGCGCGGGGCGCTTCCCTCTCACCACATCGCCGAAGGAGAGGGGCGGGGACCGGCGGGAGCGGAGCGGGGAGAGCGGCCGGTCTCACCCCTCCACAGCGGCGCCGGCCGCGCTGCTCCCCTTTCACCGCCCAACTACCTCAGCACCTCCCTCCCTCCCTCCCTCCCTCCGTGCCCGCCGGCGCGGCCTGCCCCGGGCCCCCACTGCCTGAGCCCCACACTCGCCTCCGGCGCGCGCCGCCGCCGCCTGACGGAGGGAGGAGAGCGGGAGGGGCGGGAGCGGCGGGAAGGAGGAGGAGGAGGAGGGGAAGCGGCCCGGCGGGAGCGCGCGCGGCCCCGGGCTCGCTCCTTTCCTCCCTCCCTCGGCGCGCGGAGGTGAGGGGCGGAGCTGATTGGTTATTCATGAGGGACGGTGGGCGTGGTTATGTAAATCAGGCGCCCCTCTGCCCCCAGGGCGGGTGGCCATGGACACGCCGCTCCCCGCCCGCCCACCGTACCTGTGGCGGCCGCAGCCGCACCGTACCCGCCGCCTCCAGGAGCCCCGCTGGGGAGCGAGCGGGAGAGGGCTCACCGGGGAGGGGGGACCCGAGGAGGGAGAAGGCGGGGTCCGGCTGCGAAGGGGCTGTGGCAGCGTCTCCTGTGAGGGGCGGACGTGGCGGCGGCGGCGGCGCGGGTCGTGCGCGGAGGGAGCCGCCCCGTGAGGGGGAGCGGCAGCAACGCGGCCCCCGCTGTGAGGGAGGGAGGGCTGTGGAGCGGCCGGTGCGGCGGGAAGGGACTGTGAGGAGTCGGAGGAGGTGGCTCCGGCAGGGCCGAGGCGTTAACAGCGGCTCCAGGTCCCTGCAGGTACCGCTCGGAACGGGCCCGAGCTGGGCGAGGGGTGTTTGGCCGTGAGATGTGATGGGAACGCGGCCACCGGCCACGGTCCCTCCCGTGCGGGCACGTCTCTGCCGCGGAAGCATCCCCCTGCCTTTAATGTCAGCTGTGTTCAAAGCAGATGGAATGGTTTGGGTTGGAAAGGACCTTAAAGCTCATCCGGCTCCAACCCCTGCCACGCGCAGGGGCACCTTCCACTAGAGCAGCTTGCTCCAAGCCCCTGTGTCCAACCTGGCCTTCAACACTGCCAGGGATGGGGCAGCCACAGCTTCTCTGGGCACCCTGTGCCAGCGCCTCAGCACCCTCACAGGGAAGAGCTTCTGCCTTATCTCCAACCTGAACTTCCCGTTTCAGTTGGAGCCCATCACCCCTTGTTCTATTACTGCAGCCCCTGATGAAGAGTCCTTCTCCAGCATCCATGATGCAGATAAGAGATTTCTGCAGACGCTACCTGAAAACCAAGATGTTTTGGTTCTCCCCTACAAGAGGTCAGACACAGCTGAAGACCAGGTGCAAAAGGAACACACAGGAAAACAAAAGCTATATTACCTGTTAAAGCTATTATTAAGATGCACATTATTATTATTAAGATGCACATTGCAATCCTGTCAGTGTATCAGCATTGCTTAATTGTCCACTGTGAATGAAATAGAATAATGACAAATTTGGTTTTCTCATCAAACTAACATTATTTTTGGTCAATAGAGCACATGGTAAACACAACTTCTGATTTTATGTGTTTATTTCCCTATAAGATAGTAGTTACTGGAATTAACTGATTCTTAACTAAGATTCAACAAAGTATTTTATTGTTTTTTTTTATTCAACAAAATAATCAGTTTATTCCAGTAAAAAATGTCCTCTTTCATTAAATGAATGAAAAGTATCTCCCCTCCCTTGGATGGATGCCTTGTTAAACCTTTGGCCCCAAAATGGTGAAAAGCTTCTCATCACATCTGTCCCCAGTGCCAAATTAATGACCAAAGAAATGAAGCAACAGGGTAATCTTCAGCTGTGGGTCAAGGAAATGACTTGTGCAGACAATAAAGTGCAATAGAAAGAATCCTACATGGGAAGTGTTAATAAAAATGGGTTGTTTTTTACGTGTGCTTGTTCGCAGAGCTAATAAGATGCCAGGTTTCTGGAATCAAGCTTGGATTGGGGTGAGTGAATGTATCACCTCTCATCTGTATGATGATTCTGTATGATGCCATCACATGTATTCTATGGTGAATAGATCACTATACCATCTCTGTCAGCCATCTCTTCAGTCCTTGGGTTTTGCTTTCAGAGGAGAGTGGCATTGCATAAACCAGTGCAAGAAGCAACTTAAAAAAGAACACGAGCACAGGAGGGAAATTTTCCAGAACTATTTCCATCTAAATCTGCATCCTCCTTCCTGCCTCTTCCATTACTTCCAGCAGAAGGGCTTTCTGTAATTGCTTATCTTCTGCTGCCCTTTTGTCTTCTTAAACCACATGAACTGGAGGGCAGCACATAGCCAGAATAAATCCTTATTTCTCCTTCAGCAACTTATTAGCATAGCAAATCACTGACTGTGCATGGCGACAGTACCAGGAGGAATAATAGTTCCACCTACGAGAAAATATTCTCAGAACTGATGTCAACTGCTTTATATACGTACCCATATCATTCGTAAGCAAACACATTGCAAGACATGGGTTTGTCAAAGAGAGGGAGGATCTGAAGTTTCCAGTACATAGCTGCGAAGTCAGAGGGAATGAGACAACAGCAGAAGACCAGCTTCCACACTGGAAGAGGAGCCACAGTGTGTAAATACTTAGGGACTGTGTCCAGTCCCGATGCTGTGTTAGTGTTGAAGTCCCTGAGGCAGAGGAGAGGATTGAACAGGAGCATCCTTGCTCTCCACCAATGGCAGCCTCCCCTGCATTGTGCAAGAAGACAAATCCTGCTGGAGCACTCTGGAAATCCCTTCTGGGACACGCAGGCACACTTAGTTCCTGGATCCTGGCTGTCCAAGCTCCACTGTAAATACAGCACCAAACTGCCCAGACGTAGAGGCTGTGTTCATCTGCACCTACACAGAAGCACAACCACAGGTACTTGAAGTATAACGACACAGATCACCTACAGCATTTAGAGCCTTCAGAGATCAGCCAAGGTGCAAGGGGGAGTTCTGAGGATCACTGTTCCTGACTTTGGTCCAGAAATCCCACCCAAGTTCCATTTGGTCCCATGCACACCTTATTACATCTAGCCCCTTAGCACTCAGACGTCTCTGGTGAGCTAGGAGAAACCCTCAGCCACCTCTCTGTGTTTTGAGTGGTTGTACTACAAGCTGACACAAAGTTTGCACAACAGCAAAGAGAAAAACTTGGCTGCAATAAACAAGATGTTGTCTCTTAAACAGCCAGAATCCCTACAGGAAGCTATAAAAACCCTAGGTCTTTGTAATCCTATGTTCCATCAGATCCTCTCCTGGATGGATTCTACTAAGCATGACCATATAAAAATCAAACATTGCTTACATTATTTGTTATCTAAGAAATAGATGCCCGAGAATACAATATTCTAATATAATCCTGTAAATGGGAGACACTAATTTTCTTCACACTTCAGCAGGCTGAAAGAACACCGGGTCTGCCATCCCTTCAGTAACTAATGAAAGGCACATCTATTTGCGGAGCCTGGGGAGGTTTGAAATAGATTTGGGGGTGGTTTTTTTTTTGCAGAAAAGGGCAATTTCTGGTTTGCTGGTTGGTTCATTTTAGTTTCTGCAGTTTTTGGCAAGAGCACCTTGAGGTGTGGACAACAGACTCTGGTTTGTCTAAATACACATGTGCTCTGTGCCCCTTCTTCTACCACCAGAGCTGCATTTCAAGGCCCTTCATTTGAGCAACAGCTGAAGTTGCTCACAGAGGAGAAAAAAAGAGTAAGAGGATTAATCAAGATACCTCTTTTTTTCCTGCAGACACCTGTTTTGGAGTGGATGAACTGCATTTTTGTAGTCTCAAAGAGGCAGGTTCTAGTTCTTTCAATAACAGAAGCCAACAGAGGCAAAATTTGCTGCCTGCAGAGCTCCGTTTCCTCAGAAATACGTATAACCAAGTCCCAAACCTGCCTTCAATGTGAGAAAAAGAACGTTAAAGGTCATGTAGAAACAAAGAGCTGGCAACACGCCGCAGGATATCAATCTGACATCAAATGGCCCTGCCTGTACCAGGAAGCAGCTCGAGCCGGTCACATTTCCCTCCTGCAGCGGATGGAAGCACAGAAAAAAAGAGCCACCGTGTTAGATGTGATTAAGAGGTGTTTGGCCAAGAAAAGGTGCCCCAAAGGGCTGTCCCAGTGGGAGATTCCTGACCTCCAGAGAGATGTAAGTGTGATCAGAGACCCTTCGTGGAAGGTGTTGCCCACTGTCCTCAATTTTCAGTGAGAACATCAGTGCAACAGATGACCCTGTGAAAGAAAGGGATTGTATAAGACGTCAGAGCGCTGGTTTGGGAACAGCGAGCAAGAAGTGCTTTTGGGTGAGACAGTCACGTCCCCTGTCTAGCCAGTGTTCCCTCCTGCCCTAAACCTCCTCAATTGCTGCCTGATGCTCTCATGTTCTCTTCTTCAAATCAGATAGCTGAGCACGAGTCCTTAGTGCATGAACCACATGCACACACCTCCATTCAGAACTCTGTTCAATAGGAAACACCTATTATTGTCCTTGCCCAGCATCAGCATTACAGGAGGCAATGTTGCATCAAAGCCAGGTTGGATGGGGCTTGGAGCAACCTGCTCTGGTGGAAATTATTCCTACCTGTGGCAGAGAGTTGGAACTGGATGAGGTCCCTTCCAACCCAAACCAGTCTGGGAGTTTGTGATTCTATGATTCCACAAGAACACTGTGTGTCAAACTGTAATTTGCAATTTTGAAAGAGAAGACCTATTTATGCAGCTCATAATTTAGCAACAATACCAATCTCACCGTTTTCCTCTCGAGAGGCACCGCAGTGATTTCATGGGATGCAGATAACATCTCAACTGATATGACACACCTCTGGCACGCTGGTGAGCACCCATCAGCCTTGTAAACAGAGAAAAACCTTTGTAATTGTCCCTTCTGCTCTGGTAATGTGACCCAGTTATCACAGTCCTCATAGACAAAGATTCAGAATTTTGTATATACATGGGATCAAACCAAAATGCCACCTTTTGGTGATT